ACAAATATGACCCATCATCTTTTAAATGCAGAGCTACTGCACTAAATTGTTCCTCCACCCTCCTTATGTGGCAAAAATGAGGACGACTTAAGCTTTTTTACATTATTTCCAAAACATGCATAGTTGTTTTCTTAAATGATGGGTTCGTTCTTTTGAAAAATGTCTTCAAAATTACCAAAATAAACCCCAATTTTAAAACTCTGTATTTTTCTGGTATTAGAAGAAGTGATTTCAAAGTGCTAAAATTATTTTATGATCTAAAATAAATTGAAGTGTTGTTTTAATTGAATTCTTTCAAAAATAGTGTCTGTGTATGAAACAGACATGTGTCAGTGATATTTCAGTGTACTTTATAGTCTTCTGCAAAGTATTTGCTTTATAATTAAATCATGGGTGGAGTACCATAACTGTCTCAGTGTTTCTCAAAGACATTTTGAGCGAGCATTAACACCTTGCCTTTTCATTGTTGGATGCTATGAATATAACAGTGTCTATTAAAATGTTGTTTGAGACAAATATGAGTCATATAATCTCCAAATAGTTTTTATGATGCCACAGTGAGCGTATCTGGCACTATTTCCCTTTCAGCCCACTCACTGTTTAGTCCTTTATGTTGGTTACCTGAAAAACAGCGGATGTTGCTGAGCCACAGCGATATTTCTGATCTGCGACCCCGCTGAACCCACGGGATCATCTATAGCCTAAAACACAAAAACACCGTCCCGCTACCACTGACAAACTCACCTTTCTCACCCTTTCCGAACCCTCAGTGGGGCTGAGAGCCATTGTTTCACTTAAACAATCCTCATTGAATTAAAATCTGGCCGCACGCTTTGTTCAGTGAGGCTGATGCATACTGCTGTCATGGGTCCCATCGTTAATGTGCCATCACTGCACCTCACATCCTCAGCAGACACAGGCAGCGCTGAGTTTATTTCCTCCATCTGTAGGTGAATGTGTGCACACATCTGTCTGTGTGTGTGTGTGTGTGTGTGTGTGTGTGTGTGTGTGTGTGAGAAACCCTAATAGTGTGCAGTGTGCTCATACTGTTGATGGGCTGAAAGAGTATGAGAGGGTGTACTGTGGGGTGTAGGTCATTCTGTGTGTGCGAATGTTTTTGTGTGTAATAGTGTTAAATCATTCAACAGAGAGAAGAGCAGATGCAGATTGTGTAATCTGGTGCTTTGGTAGATTCACCTAAATCTGATCTAATGTCACACTGTAACGAAACACCAGAGATGAGGGCTAAGAAGACGCTAGTTAAAGACAACATCACCCTTTATTCATTAGTCAAACAAATCATCTATTTTTAGTTTTTAGCAACAGGAAATGTTTTCAAGTTGGACCTTTAACCATATTATATGTTAGTCTATCGTTAAGTATGTGTACACACTGGGAGTTTGGGTGACAGGTTGGCCTGACTCTTCATGTCTTTATCAAAAGGCCTGACAAACCCTCATATCTCTTAATTTCCTAAAATGAAGCACTTGACAACACATTCAAAATTGTGTGCATGTTAATGTTAGAACAAGGTTTAGGCGTTTAAACCCAGGTATGGGGTGGGGACGGTTTTCAATGGGAGATGCTTGTGCGTGTGTGTATACGTGCGTGCGTGTGTGTGTGTGTGTGTATGTGTGTGTGTGTGTCTCCATGTATTTTAGCGGAAAGGAAGGGAGTTGGTTGCAGAGATACTGAGGCAGACAGGAAGAGATCATCCTGGTGTTACGACGGCTGAGGTTGAGCTCCCCAAGCCCATTCATAGCACACACACAGGCTATTTCTCATGCACATACTCACTCACACACACACACACACACACACACACACACACACAGATGCATGAGGACACTAGTGCGTAGTGTGTTCTTCCTCATGTCCCTTCACCACCAACCTTTTACCTTCATAGTATTGGTTGTGTGTCATTTTCTCCTTTTACTGTTCCTTTCACATTTCACTGTATGTTTATCAAAACCTCAGTAAATCTCTAAAATGTGTCCACCCAGCCCAGCTACACTCACACATGCACACACACGCACAAAAACCATTTGCACTGATGTTCAAAGAGTTCGATGAGTTTTTCGCTGGGATGGCATGGCAGCAGAATGATATTTCCGTGAGCTGTGGGTGGGTGGGATGGATGGATAGATGGACGGATGACACCGTATCCACCCACCCTGGGGAGAGGAAGTCCCTATCAGAACACAACAGGAAAGAGACAGAGCAAAAACAAGCGCATGTCTTTTTGGACATTAAATCACTTCCTGTAGGACTCTGAGCTGCCTCCCCCACCATCCTCAGCTTCCACCTCTCAGCATAGTTGAACCACCCTTTTGGCAAGACAGCGTAATTGATCAAATCTGTGAACTCCAACACATCTCCTGTGTGTTATTGCACTGATGAGTGAAATACCTAACGAAGAGAAGGAGCTTGAAACCCTGTTTAGAATGACTTTATCTTTTATAATACAAAACACCTTTGCTTAAAAAACAGGCTATAGCCTACACACATATATAATGCTGTGCAGCCTGCCAATCTGATTTATCACTGTGACTTGCAGATGTGATGAGTATCATAGGATGCCATATAAATCTGTGCACCCTGACAGATCACAAGCCCTGTGGGTTCGACTGCTCTGATCTTCATCCAAGAACAAAAACAATGAGACAAAAAGGTTTATCTGTGGTGGTGGCTGCAGGAAAAGGCCATTTTATTGATGACAGGAAAAGACAATGACACCAGTTTACATTCAAAACACAATCCTCCGTCGGCCTAGCTTGTGATTACGTTCATATTGTGAGCGATCTTAAAATGGAGACATCAGACATCGTATACAATGCACATATGGGAGTAAATCTCATACATGTATCAAAAATGCAGCTTTTGCTCAATGCTCTCCACATCCAGGGCACAGCTGTAAAAAAAATATGACTTCCTTCCTTGTAGGCAATTTCCTGTTTATGTCTGAATGCAGGTCAGGAGAGGGGGATAGTGGTCTCTACCCGTCCACCGTCATCCTTCCCCAGGTTTGACCCCTGTCCTGATGATGCAGGATCCTATGGATTCTGTCGCTAATAGAAATATTCACAGCTTTTCTTCCTTTATCCATAAAATCAAATCTGTTGTACTCTTGATTATAAACAAAAGAATGGCACTCAGTGGAGTAATCCTCCAGCGAGGCACAATAGTCCTCTTATAATACCACAATTAAATTAACTAGATCCATATTTTATCTGGATCTGCACCTAATGCCACACACTCATTATTTTCATGAACATACAATCTCTCCAAAAATTCCAGGAACAGCAGTCAGATGACAATCCGCATAAAAATGTAAGGGGTTCTTCCCTGACCTATACCACATCATTCCATTCATTGTAATCCACAATAGTAGTTTTTGCGTAATCTTGCTTCCAAACAAATAAACCAACAAACAAATGGACAGGGGTGAAAACACAACCTCCATGGTCAAAAGCCTCATCTACAAAACACCCCCAAAAAAATTGTATCGCCACAAAGCAAACACACTTTCAATCTTATTTGCGTTTTTGTTCTCTGCAAGGTCCCCCCCCCCACACACACACACATATACATACACTCTCCTCAAAAATGTCTCAATTGCACACACATGGATCTTCTTGAGGCGCCCAGTTTGTTTCATTTTCTGCTGATTTGCCTAAAACAGGCAGCGACTGCTGCTGTGAATGTTTAATTTAAGAGCTCATGTTCCCCTCTTTGTGCAGAGGTTGGAAGTGTGGACAGGCTTGACAAGGTAAGGGGGGGTCCAATAGTGGTGTCGGGGCAAAAGGGGGGATGGCTTATGGAGACCCGAGGTCTCTGGGCGCAGTCATTAAGATGGCTACTCGGTTTAGAGATGAGAAAGCATGCCCTGCACTCTAGGCTCATTGAAGATGCTCCCCTGCCTATGTGGAACATCCATTATTTATGAGTTTTTACAAATTCCAACTGACATTTTCATCAGTTGTGGATGTGTGTTTCTGATTTGGTTACACTGGGTGTGGCTGCCCTCCCCACCAAGATGAAAATATTGGTTCAATACAACAGTTTGTTATTACAAAGCAAATATTTTACAGTTGCGTGCAAGGCTTGTTATTACTTTTACAACTGTGCTTATTTAGCTTTGGACGGAGTTTTCTGAGTCAAATGGAAATATATGAAGGATTACATGTCATTAGGTGGTGACACAAAAATAGGGTATCTATCACCCCAGCTTTAAAATGAATACTTTTGAATATGAGAAAAACTGGATTCAAGTGATTATCGTTCATCCCTTCTCTAGTTTGTTAACATAATTTAAAAACGACTCAATGTTGTATCTGATAACTATGAAGAAAAAACAGGAATGACACAAATAACCAGCGCAGTTCTAACAGGAAGTGTTGTCACTCTGCTGCCTACGACTCCAACCGCATTCGTCCATGGATGAGCCAATATTGATCCCACTGCCCTGTGCTTTGGTATTCAGCCTCAGGCTCCATGCAGCCTCACCTCACCCTACATCACTCACCTTACATTAGACTCTGAGCTTGATATACATCGATCTGTTAGGCTCTGGTACAGTCTTGGAGAGAAAACTTGTCAAATGCCAGTTAACATGAGATCCAACAGAAGACCGCCCACTTGCTGTCAGTCTTGTGCTCGGTGCTGGAGGTCGATTCAACAATGCTGTGATATCTAACATACATGTTTGTTTTAAGGAGTTGATCTGGCAGACTGGTGATTTAAATTGGTGCTGGTCCAATAGTGGCCAAAATCACTGAAAGGGAAGAAAAGTACAATATGGTATAAAAAAACCCTCATGGAAATCCTTTAAAAACTTGGTGTATAGCTCTCAAGTAAGATAACAGCAAAAGTTGGAAACTTCAAAACCATGACATGATTTAACACTTGCAGAATCATCATTCATAGAGTATGAATTCATTTATGCAAAGAAAGAATAGGATTAAAACTCCCTTCAGAAAGTAGCAAAGCTGATAACAGAGAAAACTGCTTAATTCATTGTGCCAGACAACCCAACCATTTTGGTTGTAGAAAATGCTGAGTGTTGTTTTATCGAACATACAGTCAGCGCAGGGCGTAATCTTTTGCTGCATACCCTAGTGGACATGAGTTGATGACAACATTTACTTCACAATGACCAGAGCGGACTGGTGGACATGGAAACTATGAATGTGCCTGAGTCCTCACAGCACAATGGATAGACTCAAGTTTTTCCTTTAGTTTTATGACTCACAAAGTCCAGCATCAGAGGAGGTGATAAATACATAGAAAATTGTCAAGTGGAAATTCATTGTCAATATAGGCCAGTAATATCATACAAGCATGAATTACCTTGGTGTTGCCAGTTTGGAATTGCAATTCATTGTGAGCAAGAGACTTTTATCACAGCATCTTGTAAATGATGCACTCGCTATCAGCAGAAAAACTGTGGGTCACTTCAAGCACTTGCCACCTGGTTATTCGCACTTCGAGGACATTGAAGTGGATTTGAGAACACCGCTCAAGCATCCACAACAAGTTGTACGAACAAGGTTGAACAGTTCACGTTAACATAATCGAGAGCCTCATTGCACAGAATTTGGCTTCATTGTAAATTCAGTGGCGTACCACCTAAATGCGAAATGGCGATGGGGCACTGTAAAAGACCATCGCAGCTCTGGCCTCCTTTGAGGAGTTGATAAGGTAGGTGGACACAAAAGATGATCCAATTCATTTCACAGGGTCAAAAAATGTATGACTCTTATTTGCCTCAATACAGAACCTTGATTAGATACAGAATAATTATGCTCTTTGTTTTCTCGCTATTTTTTTAACCTCTTCTGATCTTGTAGGGAGATAGTTGTAGTGACTTTGAAGAGACTGAGTAGTGGAACTTAAGTGATTGTCTATCACACACAGCGATTGTCTAACCTAGTAGATGCTAATTCTTTCTATGATAATGTGTTTTTATCATGGATGATGAAAAGACTGTAGTGACGATGTTCCTTCGACTTTGGAATCTTAAAGAGATTTGAAAGATGTACAATGACATAAGGACGTGTATTGTGGAGACCACTTTGCCAATTGGTTGCTTGTCAGACACAAACAGTTGCATCCAGTTATTCAAAATACACAGGAAGACGTCTTCTCATGCAGTTATCATCTCATAGAGCCTGTTTATATATCACCCTGCGCTAGTCTTTACCCAAGCACTGAAGCAGTGAGACTGACAAACTTTATGTAATCCCTTTAGCTTGTTGGAGTATGAGTATAGTGTCTAAAATGATATGGTTTTTTTAACAGATCAGGCCAAAATAAGGGAAAGCATCTGTTGTCTAGTTTTGGTGTGTGAGAAGTATCTGATGACACCTATAGCTGGAGTGGGAAGACTATTTGGCAGTTTAGTCAGATTAGAAACAATGACATGGTTGGGAATCAAAAATGGCAAAACGCGCCGCCATTTCGCTCTCATGGTGCAGGTCGCAGCTGCTTTAGCAACCAGGACCAGGCTTGGAGGATCAGCCCACATGAATGCCGCCCCCTAACAGAAAGCACAAAATCCCAATAACCAAATGTTTACGTGGTTAATCATTTAGGTGATTGGCAAAACTATTGATATAGTAGATTTGATCCTGGATTTGTCAGGTCCACGTTGATCAGAACCGGCTTTACAAACCTAGAACTCCACGTTATGAGAGCCAACCTTACAAACCAGATGCAGTGTGTGACGCTCAAGGATGTAGAGCATTGGATCTATGATATAAATGTATTGCTTTATTACCTCTGCCAAAGATAATGTTTTCAACCCTGCCCATTGGTTTGTTTTTTTGTTTACACAAAAACTGCTGAACAGATTTCTACAAAACTTGGTGGAAGAAGCAGACATGGGCCAACAAAGACCTCCTTATGTGTTGGTGTGGATCAGTCCAGGATTTATTTTTTTATTTGCTTTAACATTGGGAAAATTGGGTGTTTTTCACATTTTCACCTTTTCTCTGGGAATAATTATAAAATCTGTCACATTAAGGGAAATTATTTTAAAGGGATTGTTCACATAAAATAAAAAGGAAAATTCACTCATTCTCTACACTGTGCTGGTGGAGGGGTGGGTGACATTCAAATTCAACTCAAAACGGTGTCATTCACACCTTGTTGTTAGTCTACATTTCAGGTCGAATTTGCAGAGGCTTACAGACACTTGGATGACTCCACTAAGTATGAAGGCATTTTCTCTTTTTTTCTGTTGTTTTTTTTAACATTTGAAGAATTTGTCACCAGTTACTTCAATTGTCTTGGATTTGGCTGCGATGCTGTTTACTCTTCTAACACTTCACCCATCCCTCCATCGGCATACAGGTGAGTAGATGATGAGTGAATTTAAATTTTTGGGTGAACCATCCCTTTAAGCAGACTGTTGGGCCCTGGCAGAGGGACAGTAAATGGTCTGTATTTAAATTGTCTAGTCTTCACAACCACTTAAAGCGCTTTAAAGTAGCGTATTGCCATTCACCCATTCACACACATTCATACAGTGCATCTATGCGTTCTTCTGAGTGCACTTAAAAATTCTCATGGTAAACAAACACAGACAGTTTGGGAGTTAAGATGGTTCAATGTAAACTCTCACATTAAGGCCAGTGTGTAAAAGTGTGTTTGAGGATAATGTACATCACCTCATTAGGCATATGGTGGAAATTGCACAGGGCCTTGGTGGAAAGCATCAGTCTTTAGTAAAAGCAGCAGCCAAATGATTTGCTTCCAGTGTTTGATGCTGGTCATTCAGTTCTGTAATGTAAATGCCACTGTTTACACAAGAGCTGTTGTTAAGATAGTATTTGCCTGTGTGGTTACTGGAATTTATTTCCATAGATACATGTAGATATAAATAGCTACAGTGTGTGTGTGTGTGTGTGTGTGTGTGTGTGTGTGTGTGTGTGTGTGTGTGT